AGCCTGAGCCCAGCAGGTAAAGGCTGCAGTGGTCGTGAGCTTGCCACTGTACTCCAGCCTGGGTGACAGAGTTGAGACTCCCATCAAAAAAACAAACAAACAAACAAAAACATATCAAAAGAATAAAACACAGGCTGGGCTTGGTGGCTCAGCCTGTAATCCCAGCGCTTTGGGAGGCCGAGGTGAGTGGTTTGCCTGAGCCCGTGGGTTCGTGACCCGCCTGGGCAACTTGGCGAGACCTCATCTCTACAATAAATAAAAAAAAAAATTAGCTGGGCATGGTAGCGCACACCTGTAGTTCCAGCTACTTGGAAGGCTGAGGTGGAAGGATCGCCGGAGCCCAGCAGGTTGACGCGGCCACTGCACTCCAGTCTGAGTGACAGAGTGAGATTCCAATTCAAAACAAAACAAACAAACAAAAAAGAATAAAACACAAAAACCATGTGATCATCCCTATGCATGCAGGAAAATCATCTGATAACATTCAAAAACACTCCACAAACTCAACCAGATAAAGGGCATCTAAGAAAATCTACAGCAAAGGCATGGTGGTGCATGCCTGTAATCCCTCCCTTTGGGAGGTAGAGGCGAGAGGATTGCCTGAGCCCAGGGGTTCAAGACCAGTCTGGGCAACTTGGTGAAACTTTGTTTCTACAATAAATCAAAAAATTAGCCAGGAGTGGTGGCGCATGCCTGTAGTTCCAGCTACTTAAGGCTTGGGCGGAAGGTTGAGGCTGTGATGGCCATGAGCATGCCACTGCCCTCCAGCCTGGGCAGCAGCATGAGACTCCAACTCAAGAAAAAAAAAAAAGTAGGCAAACATCATGAACAGCCATCTCTGAAAAGACATATAAATGGCCAACAAACATACGAAAAAATGCTTAACATCACTCATTATCAGAGAAACGCAAATTACAACTACAATGTAATATACCACCTTACATCAGTCAGAATGGCCATTACTAAAAAAAAATCAAAAGACAACAGATGCTGGCACGGATGTGGAGAAAAGGGAACGCTTATACACTGTTCGTGGGAGTATAAATTAGCACATCCTCCAAGGAAAGTGGTATGGAGATTACTCTAAGAACTAAAAGTCAATCTACCATTTGAGCCAGCAATCCCACTACTAGATATCTACCCTAAGGAACAGAGGTCACTATATGACAAAGACAACTGCATGTTCATTGCAGCACAGTTCACAACTGCGAAGATGTGGAATCAACCTGAATGTCTGTCAACCAATCAGTCGATAATGAAAATGTGGTATGTATACACCACATGGAATACTATGTAGCCACAAAAAAGAATGAAATCCTGTCTTAGCAGCAACTTGGATGGAGCTGGAGATCATAATCCCAAGTGAACTGACTCAGAAACAGAAAACCAAACACCACATGTTCTCACTTAGAAGTGGGAGCTAAACCAAGAGTTTGCCAAGGCACAGAGAATGGTGTGAGGGGCACTGGAGACTCCGGGAGGAGGGAAGGGCAGAGGGATGGAAATCACCTGTTGAGTACAACGTGCACAGGTGGGAGTGATGGGTGCACCGAAGCCCAGACCAAAAACCATCTGTACCCCCAAAGCTTCTGAAATAAAGGAAAACAAGATGTTCAAGTTCACTCATAAAAAGAGAAAAGCAAATTGTCTGTTTTGAGTTGGGGTCTCATCTGTCACCCAGACTGGAGTACAGAGTCATGATCACGGTTCACCACAGCCTTGACTCCTGGGCTCAGGTGATCCTCCCTTCTCGACCTCCTGTAGTTGGGACTACAGGCATGCCCCACCATGCTGGGCTAATTTTTTGATTTTTTGTAGGATGAGGTCTCGCTATGCTGCCTAGTCTGGTCTTGAACTCCTGGGTTCAAGCAAGCCTCCCACCTCGGCCTCCCAAAGTTCTGGAATTACAGGCGTGAACCACTGCACCAGGCCAAGGAAAGCAAATAAAAACTACACTGAAGCCAGTTGTAACTGGCACCTGTAGTCTCAGCTACTCAGGAGGCTGAGGCAGGAGGATTACTTGAGTCCAGGAGTTTGAGGCTGCAGTGAGCCATGATCCGTGCCACTGCACTCCAGCCTGGGTGACAGAGGGCGCAACCTCAACTCAAAATATACATATAAACACCTTGGCCTCCCAAAGTGTTAGGATTACAGGCTGAGCCACCGAGCCCGGCCTGTGTCTCTGTATTTGACTTGTGTTAAAATGTGCTTGTATTTCACCCAGACTGGAGTGCAGTGGCACACTCCCAGCCACCACAGCCTCGACCTGCTGGGCTCTGGCGATCCCTCTGCCTCAGCCTTCCAAGTAGCCGAAACTACAGGTGTGTGCTACCACGCCTGGCTAATTTTTGATTTATTATAGAGATGAGGTCTCGCCAAGTTGCCTGGGTGAGTCTCGAACCCATGGGCTCAGGCAATCCACTCACCTCAGCCTTCCAAAGTGCTGGGATTACAGGCTGAGCCACAGAGCCTGGCCAATTTTTTTTTTTTTTTTTTGAAGAGCCGAGGTCTTGCTATGCTGCCTAGGCTGGTCTCAACTTCCTGGGCTTAAGTGATCCTCTTGCCTTGGTCTCCCAAAGTGCTGGGATCACAGGTGTGAGCTGTCATGCTGGGCCCAGTTCTGTTTTTATCAGGCTTTATGGTATCCACGCTTCTGCATGCGTGGAACTCCATCCTGAACTCATCCTGAACTCCAAAATTATCTTGTAAAAGCATGCAGGGAAAATGTTTACAGATAGGACACGTCTAGGAAGCAACTTGTCTGGGCCACCCAGTCCGGTGAAGCCTCCCAAACCCCATGACCTGGGACCCACCCAGGATACCTGCCTCCCACAGACCCAGGGAGCTGAGTGAGATCCTCTTAATCCCACGAGGTGGTGGTGCCAAGGCACAGGGCAGATAGCTCCAGGGTCATGAACCAACACAGCAGCCAGCTGACCCCAAGACAGGAATTCCTGACGCAGCTGTGGCCCAGGAACGGCCATGTCCCCAGGGGAAAATTCCCTGCCACGATGGGAAAAGTCTCGCAACTGTCAGAAGGCATTTACCCAGCACATTTCTCAGTGTGAGAGTGGGCTCCGTCAACAGCTCTCAAGATCCTTCCTCCTCACCTTCCAGCAAAGCAGAGCCAGCATCAGAACCAACCAACCCTCTGGCTGGCAAGCGTGGGCACCTTTTTCTTTTCAGAACAGGGGCTTTCTGAGGAACTTGGATGGAACACACATCAAACATGCATGAAACACGTCACACCTATTTCCAACCGACCTCTGTCATTGGCAAAAAAAGAGCTCCTCCAAGGGATTTCCGCTGCACAAGAAAACCATGTAGTCTGCATATTTTATTTCCTTCGCATTGCCTTTTTTTTTTTAAGTTGGGGGTCTCACTCTGTCGCCCAGGCTGGAGTGTGGTGGCACAATCACAGTTCACCACAGCCTCGACCTCCTGAGCTCAGGAGATCCTCCCACCTCAGCCTCCTGAGTAGCTGGAACTACCCTGGCGCCACACCACACCCGGCTGACTTTTTTTTTTTTGTAGAGATCAGATCTTACTATGTTACCCAGGCTGGTCTCGCCAACTCATGCGACCCTCCAGCTTGGCCTCCTAGAGTATAGGGATTGCAGGCCTGAGCCGTTACACCCAGTCGCTCTGATTTCCACACTTCTCTCCAGCGAGCCCTCCCCGCCCACTTGGCTCCTGGGGCCACAAGCTCACACTCGCTCTAGCCCTACGACGTCCCTCGGGATGGGCTGTAATGCCCCAAATCACCAGCAGATGGCGCAGCCCCAACACCTGACAGCGCCGACTTCCAAAACGACTCATGAGCCAACCAGCAGCCATTTAGTGCCTGCTGTATACGTGCCAAGGACTAGGCTAAGCTCTTCAGGTCAACTCTAGGCCAGAGGGCTCAGCTGCGAAATGCGTCGCCGTGAGAATTAAACCAGTCAAATCGTATAAAGCGCTCTGAAAAACGGCTGGGTCGTGGCGTGCAGTCATTACCAGGCTCTGGTGAGGTGCAAGAGACCAGCCCGGAGCCTCGGCCTCCACTGCGCCTCTCCCGCGCCGCGGCTGCCTCCGCAGGAAGATCTCCCCGGGGCCTGCGTCCGTCCAGGGGTGCCTCGCACCCCGTTCCGTCGCGACCGCCAAGCTGCTGCCCCCCTGGTCGGACTCCGGCTCCTGCCGGCGGTTTGGGCGTGGGCCCGGGTCGGAGCAGC